ACAACATTTTAGAACACTTTGGAAACCACATTTTTATGTCACAAAATTCATTATAATTAACTTTTACTATTTTAAAAATAGAACAATGGGCTTCAAAAAAATGGAAGAAACTTAGAAAATATTAAAACAATAAATTAAAAAATAATCACATATAACTCAAGAGGAAAGGTGTACAGATAGAAAATGTTTTCTCCAAACAGAAAGGAACATAAAGGTAACATACTAATATTACACAATTTTTAATACTACTAAACAATTTCACTTACCTTCATATTGAGAACAGAAGAGTTGTATAATACTTTTCCAGCTACTTTGTGTTATTCTGGATTAAAATATTTTTGAGAATACATTCCCCTTTAAGCATTTCCTGAGACTCTGACTTTTTTTTCTTTACAGTTTAAATATGTTTTATGGTATCTCTAAACATGGTATTATCTGGAGTTTTAGAATATTCAATAAAGAGTCAGAAAGTTTACAGTATCCAGAGTTAAAATAGTCATTAAGATCTTTCTGGTCTTTTTTTTTTCTTTTTTTCAGGCAAGTGAATAACATTTCAACTAGTAGTTGTATTCTCTGTGGAAATGTCCCCAAGAACAAACATGCTGCAGTCTCTGCCAAATCTAGCATTATACCAGCAACAGAGAAAGACTGCTATATTCAACTGAAAATATCCCTGGCCTTTAGAAAATTGTGCACATACATAAACACACACACATACCATTATCTTGGGCTATCCCAATTCCTTTCCTCATGAGAACTATTTTAAATCATTTAAATGTAGGATGAAAAATCAACAGTTAATTAAGAAGAAAAATCAGTACATTTTAAATAATATAATCACTTCTACCTAAGAAAGTAAATGTAAACTACTAACCAAATCTAATATAACAGCTTTTCCTTTCTGATTCTCCTTTTCAAATTCACTTTTGGAGTTTTTCAAAGAATCAGAAACTTTTGATAACTTCTCTTTTACTGTAGAAAGCTCTGTCATTAGAGTTTCTTTCTCCATCTTCACTTTTTGCAGTTCTGTTACTGTTGTTTGAATTCTGTTATTCAATTCCTTTTGCTGCATCTTTGCATCTTGACTTAAATTTTCAAATTCTTGTTTCAGGATTACATTTTCTTGCTCTTGCTTTGTAAGCATTTGCTTGCTATTTTCAAGGGCCTCAGATTTTTTCTGTAGATCCAATTTTGTACTGGATACTCTAAATATTTAAGACACAATTTTTTAAAATAATGCATAATTTGCCATTCCTAATTTACCATTCAATATTAATCATAAACATTCCTCACGTAAAATGTGAAAGAAAAAAATTTATCTTGTTTTTGTTATACAATCCACTAGGATACTTCTGTTCAAAATTAGACATCATACAGAAGTCATGATGACGTTTCTCTGTGGCCAAAATGAA